TGCTTTGTCTTTGAATTATTTTGGTTTTAAACGAGTGAAGATATTTTAATCTCACTTAATGAAAAACACTTGATTTGCAGGCTGAACAGGAGCACAAAGAATTTTTCCCATAAACTTACTGTGTAATGGTCCAGTCACTGGGTTGCTTGGAATTCAAAGATATATTGCAAGTAACCCAGCACTTCTTTACCACCTTACTATAGGAAAAAAAAGAGAAAGAAACCAGTCTTGTTTCTAGACATTGTCCTGAGTAACTGGTTTTAAGTGGCCCGGCTTGAGCAGGGGATTTGGACCAATGACCATCAGAGCTCCCTTCCAACCTCAGCCCCTCTGTGATTCTGTTCATCCCTGCTTTCCTGTTTAAGTAATGAGAATTACTTAAACTGTAATACAACAGGGCTGCCTAATTGTGGCTATCATTAGGCCACTGTGATTCCCTGTATCTGGGAATGGAATTTTGCACACTTCGTGATAGATGATTTTTTCCCTTACCAACTTTTTTCGTTTTGATTTTTCAAAACTGATTTTTTGCATCACATATTCCTCCTTACACTTCAGTAGGTGTAGTGTTAATTACTTATATCAGTGATCTCATGCACACACTATGCATATGCATAAAGAGGTTCACATACATATATATAACTATATATATATATAGTTATATATATAGTTTACCTTTTCCATTCATGTCCCCTACTGGAATAAGGCGACCAATGCAGAGCGGGCGATTCCCATACGGATCACGTACTGCATAGATGATGTCTTTATGCATAATTAGCAATGAATATGAAGTTGGAGTTTCCTTCATTAAGTTTTTTATTCTGGAAAGAGACATAGGTGAACATAACGGTGTGTCACACGAACAGCTGTGTGCATTTACAGCTGCACATCATGCTGAGGTTTAAAGGCTGGTGTTGATTGGTAAAGACCATGCTCCTCACCTTGCCACCCAGTCGGCCGTATCGTCGTTTTCCAGCGGAGGTGTGAAAGCCAGCAGCTGGGTGATCAGTTCACTGTCAGAGCTGGTTGACAGTCCCACACCATGCCGCATAAGCTTTTAAGATACAAACCAGAAGTGTTACCAGCATTAAAAAAACAATCTCACATCACACTGCTCAGATTTGAACCTAACAACACCTTGGTGCAATGAAGAAATGTTTGACAGCGCTTCAAGTGATCACAGCATAATAATGCCAAGTTTCTTCCAACAAATCAACTATGTAAAATGAGGTCAGACAATCTTCTACACTAGCACTACATTTTTCCTTCTTCATCTGATTCCTTTGCTCTGCATGCAACCAAAATTAATGCCACCAATATTCATAAATTCATGTTTGGGCCATTTAATTAGCTTTGTGCATGCTCTGGGAAGAGAGTTAAAATATAAAGAGAAAATATGAAATTGCCTAAAACAGATCCAGAAAGAGATATCAAGGCAGATAAGAAATCCCTTTGCAGGATTTTTCCACACAAAATTATCTATTTTGATTAGGGAGCTCTTTCATAACCCCAAATAATTTGGTATTATGGAAAAGTCACAGAAACTGTACTGGCCATTTCTGCCTCACACTCAGAAAGAAACAATGCCAGAGGTCCCAAAGGAAGTACTAACCTTCCTTCTTAGTTGTGCAGCATTTGTTAGCTCCCCATTGTGTGCCACAGCAATCTTCCCATGAAGAGTCTCTACAACAAAAGGCTGGCAGTTCTGCAGCTCAGAAATTCCTGAGGTGGAGTACCTCGTGTGCCCAATACCAAGGTTTGAAGGGTACAGCTTCTTCAGGCTGTCTGCATTGAAGACGTGATTTATAAGACCCATTCCCTTTGGGAGAAAAAGATAAAAAAGGTTCGGTTTAGTTTTATTTTCCTGGTGACTTTCTAAGATCTTTTTCTGCTTAATGCTGACATAGTATTAATGGAACTTTAAGAAAAAGGACAAATAACCTGAAAGACATGGGACAGAAAGAAACTGAGTAGGTGTCATAGTGGTATATCAGATCCCTTTAGTCCTGTTTTAAAATAAAACAATCTACATTTTTGTGCTGAGGATTTTCATGGAACAATCTATTCCTTGACTAAAAATAGATACTTTTAAGGCTGTAGTCATTATGTGTCTTATAACATCCCCCATGATTCTCTCAGCTTGAGAAAGTCTGTGTGACCTTCTCAGGCCTCCATTCTGTCTTAATTCTGTTTATTGTTACCTATGGGTAAAGTAGTTGCCACTTCCTTGAGTCTCACTAATGTAAGATTAGTCATCCATTTCCCTGTAATGGCTGTAACAGTATTTTTTTTTTCTTTTTGAGATCAAGAAGAGCATCAATGCTCTTCCAAATCTGCAGAGTTAACACCTGAGGTACAGGGTGACTTTGGTAAAAAGTTTTTGTGACATCATTATCATGCTCTGGGTAACTTCTGTGTGTCTGCCACTGTATGCACAGAAACACCTACCAGGACAATGTTGGCAGATTTGTTTTAAGCATACACTCTAGACAGGAAACAAAATGAGATACTCTTACTCACAAAATCAGAAATGCCCATCAAACATGTTATTTTTTCTCTAACTATGCTGTTTCTTAGCAGAGACTAACTTACATGCATCTCACTGAAGAATACAAGGCATTTATTTGCGTTTTACCTTGTGCACCTTGAATGCCTGGGATGACTCGCCATCACTTGTCACAATTCCAGCACTCTCCTGGCCCCTATGGGCAAAATAAAATCACAATAAAGCACTGACATGATTATGAAACACTTTAGCATACAATGGATAGGTGGTTATTAATGGAATTTTAATGTAGGCTTATTTATTATTTTACAGTGTTTGTTAATTGTTGTTTTAATTGTAGATTTCTTGCCTTTGTTATGCTTTATTTCAAGACAGTCACATAAGTTGTGCCTAAGTCCTCTAAATTCAGTGGGAATCTTTCCACTCATAAGCACTGGGCTCTTACTGGACTTCAGTTTCAATATGGGGATAATGTAAAAACAGATGCTTAACTGGAAAAGCCATTTTTAGAGGCGTAATGGTCTAGGTGACAGTACTAATGTTATTCTATAGTGCTATTTTATTTCTGCTTTGGATTGTGAGATGTTACTAAAAACTGATGGTGTTGCTTAGGGGAATGGATTGTCTTTTCCACTGATCACCTGTGCAGAAGCTTTTGCATTTTTGCACTTAGGCAGATAAGCTAGCATTTACCTCTAAAACCTACACAGACCCTCTGATGAAAGCATCTGAGTGCATAAACTTAATGTTTGGCATCTCAGCTTCTGTACTCAGGCAAAACAAGATGTACAAGTGTCACTGTAAACGTAAATACTTCTCTTAGCCTCGGGTTGGCAGTTGTGTTTTGTTGAGCAGAAGAGCTGATTCTCAGCTGAAGTAAGTGTGTTTTCCCTGTCCTGCTGCCTGTCCTCCCCATTCCTTCCCCCCCTGTTGATTCCCCTGGGTGTACCCCAGATCCCCTGATGCTGCCCTGCCCAAGGCAGGCAGAACACTGTGCACCTGCCCGCCGTTTGTAATCCAGTTCTTATCCATTGAAAAGGTTTGCTTTGCAGACTAGATTTTTTTTTTGTTTGTTTTTGTTTGTTTGTTTGTGGGTTTTTCTTTGTGGATAACAATGCAGGCTGCTTCATCTCCCTTTAAAAGAGTTCCTTAAATAAGGCAGTGCTGCCTATAACAAAACTGCTGTTATCTGCCTGCCTGTGCCTGTAATACTCATCAGGACTTTGGTGGACAGGTGAGCTCCTATCCACTCTCTGATAATGTCTGAATAGGAATGATGTTTTTTCTTAAAAAGGGAAAGACAACTAATGTCCTATTTGTGCACTGGACTGGTTTAACTCAGTTGAAGTCACTGGAATTATTTATTATAAGCAACAATAAAATTTGGCATAAAAATCAATAGACTGGATGCTAGTCTACAACTGACATGACCAATTTTCTCCAGTTCATAAAATCCCTTTATTTGTTACTAGTCTCAGTTGGATGTAAAGCAAAAATTTTAAACACTTGCTTTACTTGCTTTAACACTTGCTTACAGAAAGCGAAACAAACCAAACTTTCCACATATCTGAACAAATTTACCCCGTTAGTGAAACAGCTCTTCGAAGAAAATAATCAGAGATGAAGACATTCTTAAATCCATTTACTTTAACTCAGGAAGATGTTTCATCTATAAATATGAAGACTGGTAGTAAGACTTAAGGGTTGATGCACTGCATTCAGCAATTGTTATTATTATAATTGCTGTTGTAATTGCAATTGTTAATATTACAGGAAATTTCCATTTTAATACTGTCATGGTCTCTTTAAATAGTAACTAAATCACTAGGAAGAGGGAAGCAGACACCCCAAGGAAGGCCCAGGTCAAGGTGTTGAATTACATCTTTCACTTCACTGACAAAAGACACGGGATCTCAGTGTCATTACCACAACGTCTGCACCACTCTACGAGCTGAGCCAGACTTTAAGTATGCCAGCTTTTATGCAAACATCACTAATACATAAAACGTGTCTCTACGGCCCGCAGTTAGAGGCAGACAGCGCACAGAGATGCGCAGATGTAGGGCAGGACGATCCTAAACGCGAGCCTTGTGGGGCAGGCTGGGTCCAGCGGCCGTGCCCCCGGGCTGCCCGGGGCCTCCCGAGGCCAGGCCACAAGGGGGGAGCGTGTGTGTGTGATGTTGCTTTGTTTTGCTGGGTTTGGGGGTTTTTTCAAAGGAACGAAACTATTTTTGTCTCTCTTCTCACACCTTGGTGCCCGCACTGACTCCCGAAGAAGAGCCACAGCACCCCCAGCCAGGCCCGGCCCGGTCCGGCCCGGCCCGGCTCGGTCCGGCCAGGCCAGGCCGAGGTCTCCCCCCCCGCCGCCGGAGCCGCTTCCCTCGGCGGGCTCCAGCGCCGAGCCTGCTTATTTGGCAGTGTCTCAAGTTACTCCCCTCAGGCAGCTTGAGCCAGTAAAACTAGATCCTTTCATCTCGGCGGAGCTTACTGACAACCAGCCGTCTGGTTTCCTAGGAAACAAAATCTTGGCTAGAAATAGTGAATCATTTCCAGGTCACTTTCAACATGGAGAGTGGAGCAGGGAAGCATTGGACTGAGGAGGAGGTTAAAGCCTTGTTAAGCGTCTGGTCAGAAAAAAATATCAGAAAGCAACTGCACGGCACCCTGAGGAATAAAGGAATATTTATCTACATTGCTAAAAGGTTACAGGAGTTGGGAGTGTGCAGGGACTGGAAACAGTGCCGCGCAAAGTACAAAAACCTGAAGTACGAATACAGAACGGTTAAATATGCCCACAACTCTGGGGATGTCACTAAAACCATGAAGTTTTTCCATGATCTGGATGCCATATTGCGATATGAGCCTGTCACACAATTAGCAGCAGAAGAAAACGGCAGGTGTTCTGCGACTGAGACGCAGCTGAACACAAGCCCCACAACAGACAGCATGCAAGGTAAAAAAAAATATTTTTGCTTCTATTTTTCTCTCTTTGCTTAAAACCCAAAGGGAACAAAACCTTAGCCCGACTCGGCTGGCGCTGGAGCGGAGGCTGCTCAGCCCCAGCAGCGCTGTTAGAAGTGACTGGATGCACGCCTCGTGCAGGGGAATAAAATGTTAGCACCCACCAGTGTCGAAGTCTGTAAATACAGCGTAATTCCAGCAAAATTATGCTAACTGCCTGTATTGCAGCCTCGGTGAATACTTGCTAGTGTCCAGGCTCCTGCACTGCGTGGAAATGCTAAATTAAAATAAGCTGCTTTCTTTCCCTTTGCCTTTCATTTGCAGTATTTTGGAAGCAGATTTTGTAAAGCTCCAATTCAGATGTAAACGTAATGAAAAAGAAAAGGCTGAAACTGTCAGGGTGGTGTAAAAATCGTTATTTGTTCTGATACAAGTGAAATTTAGGATTTTTATTCTTATTTCTCATATATATATATCAGCTTGATATTTAGGTGTGATGACTTATGGTATAATATTTTATAAGCAGTTTCATTTAATATTCCAGAAACAGATACTTAATAATCTCTCATTAAAAACTCTAGTTTAGCAGTGAAAGTAAAAATTATCGTATTTATCAGACTATTTTGCGGCAAACCAAGTGAATACAGCTGTCTTTATTCTGAAGTGAGTTTTACTAAATTATTTGAATCTCTTGTTTTATTCGACCTTCTCTACATATGCATTTAAGCTCTGCTTAACATTTCATTAGGGTCAATCTGCTGTTTGACATCACTCAAATCTCCTTGTCACATCCTAAATGTCACTGAAGCATAAGCCCCAATAACAGTTACAGGTACCAAAATAAGATGACTAAAAAGAGAAATTAAAAGCTTAATTTGTTCCCATGGTATGTAGCAATTTACATTAATTAAGATTGTGAATCTTTTTTAAGAAAACAAGAAACAACGTTATTGCCAGGGGATAATGTCAAAGGCATAGAAAGGAGCCGGACATCGAGCTTGTCCTTGTAGCATTCCATGTCTCCCTCTACAGTGCTGTTTTACAGATTTGAGGAAAAGAAATTGCCGCTTTTCATTGTCATTGCTTACCTTAACAAAAAACTTGACCTTAATTTGTCATCACTATCAGAAAGCCTCTAATCTGTCAAAGTCACTTCAAATTAAAATAGCAATTTTAAAATATTGTAATGTGCTCTCTGCACTATGAATGGCAATCCATTTTTATTTTTAAACTTGCAGAACTGAGGTTAATACAAGCTGAAACACTTTGAGGACTGTGAAATCAAGATAGTGTCCTACATCTGAGGATCTGCCATTAGATTATCCTCTGTGTTTTGATGTAGTTTGCACCTGGTAATCCTAATTCTCATCTGCTTTAGACCTCTAGCAAATTTAAATCAGCAAAAGTTAATTTCAATTGTGAATCCCAAACTATAGTATCTATAAAAATAATTACTTCTAGGTGAGACATGCCTTGTTTTGAAGCACTAGGACAGTCTGGTTTTAAAGGTGGTATAATTAAATACATCTCTTGATTGCACAAGCACTTCTGTTACTCACTCCAGAAAAATAAAAGCAAACAGGTTTTATGGATAAACAAAAATTAAATGCAGCTAACTGTAATAATGCAACACTAATGCAAAAACTGAAATGCAAAGAATTTCAAAAAAACCACAACTGAGCTGCAATGAACGCACACGAAGACAGAAATGTGTTCTGCAGCTATGCAGAATGCATGCATACATCCACAACAAGGGGCTGAGGGAACAGCTGTGAGACCATCAACTTTCTTATTTAAGAATGCAAGTCAAGCAACTAACACTGTACTAGAGGCCCAGTCCTATTCCACCTGCAGTCAGAGTACGATGCCTGCTCAGCCCAGTACTTTGAAGAGCACTTTTAAGGCAAAACTGGCATCAGCGGCTCTGCAGCTGATGCTCTCAAGTCCTTTTGCAGGGACAGAGCTGCCCAGAGTGGTGGTGTTGCTCCCAGAGGGAAAGGCGATTCCCAGCAGCACAGGCAAAGGCAGCCCCCTACTCCTGCCCCAGCAGCAACTGCAGGCCCCTCCTGGGCTTTGCCCTTTCAACCAGCGTGTTACAAGAGTAGAGAAAAATGGTCCCTCACCTCTTTTAGAAGAGGCAGAGACATCTCATTTTGAGGGGGCTGGAGGAATCAAGGATGTCTAAGCAAACATTTGGTAGCTATACTGATTTGTTTTCCTAAGAAGCGTGACAGGGGACAGGGCATGTTCCTAAATAATTCACCATATATTTACCATTCTGCTTAGTGTCAGTCTCAACATTCCTACACATGCTTCATGTAAAGATGAAAAACATGTCTTTACATCATCTCAGCTACTGGGAGATTGCTGGGGAGGGGGAGCAACAGGAAGGGAAGAAAAGAGACTACTTTTTTTTATAGGACTGAATGGTATTTCTATAGTGTTCCCCTGATGATTTTTCATATGAGGTAGAATCAGTTTTCTTTTGAAAGTGTATTTGAAGAAATTATTACTGAAAGTCTCAGTCAAATCTGAGGAGTATCTCAGAACAAACCTCGTAGCAAAACATACCAGTTCCCAGCTTGTTCATGGAAAGATACCACCTTATGCATAAACACATGCAGAAATGTAAACAGAGAGGTTCATGCTGTCCTCCCAAAACATGTTTCACAGGCAGAGATGTAGCTTAAGTAATCATTTAAAAAAAGATACAAGCCAACAAGTTCACTTCTCTTCAAGTAGTTTGTGTATTATCACACTAATTAAAACCCAAGAAAATCTATGTAAAGTGATGGTGTGCTATGAAAAATGGTATTTTTCATTAGAGTTCAAATGAATGACCTTCCATTTTGTTAATCAAGTTAAATCAAGTATTAATAAACTACATTATTTACAAAATACTGGCCTAGTAATTCAAGTTATTTACACTTTTTATATTTCTTTATGTTTAAATATTAACACACAGATCACCTTGCTTAACCTTCAGTTTACATCATCAAATGCAGAAAGATTATCGCTGAGCAGAAATATATCAGCAATGACTGGCAGAAGAAATGCAGGAAGATCCTTCAGAAATGCTAACATAAAAGTGCCACTTACACATGGTTTTCCACATCTGCACTTTCAACATGTCATTGACAGTATTTTATATAGTGTTTTTTGAGCAAGTGTGCAATGCTTTTATTGAGTAGCTTTTCTGGTACAGTAGTATCTTTTTGTGGTAACTGTTCTTACTAAAAATAGAAGGAATTTCTCTTTTAATATAACAATGTGATTAACCTTTCTCATGCTAGTGCCTATGGCACACTCAGAAGCCTTCCAGCAGAGATTTTATTCTCCTCTCTCTGGTTTGCTTTGCTGTTCTTAAGCAGTTGAAATGCCAGTCCTGTCACTGGAGGTGGAGGCATGAGCAGCAGCTCCTGCCAGGGAAGCCAGGCAGACAGCTGGGAGCAGTCAGAGATCAGGCCACTGCATCTATGAGTCATCATGAGCCTTGCTGAAAGTCAGGAGGATTTAGGATAATGTTTTCAAACGCAGTTTTCAGTTTCAGCGACGTCAGGGGTAGGAGGTTGCATCCTAGCCGCACCTCATTACTGCTCCCCGTGACGGACTACCGCAGAGCTGCGAGCTTTCATCTGCATGCCCTGCCTGGCTGGAGCTCACAGAAGCTCAGCTCCCATACAAGGAATCAACGTTTCAAACCTCCTGTCAACATGGTGTGTTGAAAACAGCACACTACCACAGAACTTGCAAGTCTGTAGTCTGTGAAAATCTAGCTGGTTCTGAACCTGATGTACATATGCTGTTTTTAAAACTTACATAGAATTGCTATAATGTTCCTTTTTAAATAAATGTAGAAAAGCTATGCTGGAAAAAGCTAGACTTAATCCTGTCAGCTACAAATATGTCTGCTGTCAAGTCACAATTAATATTTTGGTTCCCTCCCCATACCATTAATGAATTCCATTGCTTTCCAGAGCTCTTTGCCGAACATCCTTGTTTTCTTCATACTCTTCTAGGATTTTATTTTTGTTACATAAATGGATTTTTGATTTTGTGAATCTGTGTGCAAAGTCTGCCTTTATTTGTATGTCTCTTACTTTACATTATCTACTTTACCCTGAATACTGAGTCAGAAGAGCATACAAGTTACTAGAATCAAGTCAGTTTCAACCAGAATTTTAAAATGCATTTAAAACAGGCTTCATATACAAAACATAAAATTATTTGCCTCCTATAACTCATGTCCCCCTTATGATTTAATTTAACTACAAATTAAATTGTGAGATTTCCAAGTTAAAGATCTTCTCATGGTGTATGGACACTTGAATTTAAACTAATTTAAGCTAATTTAGTCCATACCTATTTTTTCATCTAAAAACTCTTTCCTTCCCAGGTGAAATACCAGTTTCTTTAGAAGATGATGAGGATGCTCCAGGAGATCCACTACTTTTTATATCTCATGCCAGACCAGTTCAACTAGGTATAGTATGATGGAACAGAGAGATCAAAAGCTTAAAAGCAGCATGGGTGTCAGAGCACTTCCCGACAGCTTGAAAACACCGTCATTCTGTTTCTGATCAGCGTAGCTTTAATACAGCCACTCTCTTGCACCGCCTCCTTGCCAGTGTTAGCACTCAGCGGTGCTGTGCATCACTAGACACTGACCACTGTATGTGATGTAACAACCTGCATGACCCCCATTCTCATGCAAAACACATCCCATGCTATAGCTTAATCATGTTAACTGCATTAACCACAGTAATTTTGTTAAATGCCAGTGGAAAGTATGCCAAAAGCTAGTGTGGATACCCATGTCATCTTGTGGCTTTTCCCTAGTTCATTTTCTTAAATCATGGATGCTTAAAGCAGCATGAGTGAGTGGCCTGAGCCAGGAGAAAGATGCAGAGCTATCCACACTTGCAGTGGTATCCAGCATAACTTCAAAGTCACCTCTCCAAGCAAGGAATGGTCAGCAATGCTTTAGTCCAACCAACTATAGAACTCATTTGGAAAATGTCCTACTTTAGTAGTTTTGCTCAGCAAAATTACAAAGCAAAGGCACAAATCTGGCAAGACAGAAAGAGGAACACGATCCTCGGTGTGAGCCCCTTCAAGGGACAGCTACAGGAAATGAAGAAACATAAACACATTTTAGGCAGATTTAAACTTATTTTTTGCCTGGATTAACAGCAGCTGTCCTGAATCTCCGACATGCTCTATTTTTTATATACCGCCTTTGCCTTAGTATACATTCCAGTCCAGTTACAACAACTTTCATTACAAAATCTGCAAGGTGCCATATTCAGGAAGAAAACAAGCCACCGGCTAAGCCTATGGCTATTACGTTACAATTTATACCCCTCTTGCCTGCAATAGAAAGAAATTAAGGAAGAGAAATGAATGTCACATGGAATTTATGCACATATAAAATACTTCATGCACATAAACAAAACATGCAGTAAGTATCTGAATCAAATTTTATAAAAACATGTTTTTATTTGCCAGTGCTCAACACACTGCCAAGCAGAAGTCTTCAATTCTGAGGAAGCTGCTTTCTACAAAGTTAGTCAAATAACTTCAATTGCATGGGCTTTCAAGTACATACTAGTACTAAAATGCCCTCCCCATGTACCTCTTCTAGTCCCTAAGTTTCAGCACTATTTCAGAAGACACTGAAATAAAAATGTTGACCCCTTTGTATCTGCCTAATATATTGGTTTTATTTCAGCAGATTTCTCAGGTTTGAGGAAGTTTATAAAAAAATTAAATGCAGCATAAATGCATCTTTCAGATAAAAAAAAAATGTATATTCTGCTTAAACATTTTTGTAAAACAAATTAGGACTAAAATGAATTCAAGATATATGGAAAATTTTTGCACTGACCATAACAACTTTGTTTCAAAGTGGTACTTGTAGGCAGGATATTTTGAATTAGCATGTTTTTTAAAGGGAATAAGGAACAAATGAACCCACCATTTTCCACTCTTCACAGAGCAGAATAAGCGAGCAATATACTGAGTCACCAGAACTCATTTGAACTAATATCTACAACCAGAAGTGAGCTCAGCTGGGAATGAACTGACTAGTGAGAAATACTGGTTTATACAAAAAGTAAAGAAACTTTATTCCTCCCAGATGCCCCTCATGCTCTATGGCTTTGACTGGGAAGTGTAGAGAGCACTTCCTTGCACTCTTCATCCTCTTTTCTTGTCGTCTTCCCTAGGCCTTTCCTCTCTGGCCTATTTGATGTTGGCAGTTACCATCTGTGGCAGTTCCTATGGTTTGATTCACCAGTAAATCAGCATTTTCTTTCACTTCCTCAGGAAGAAATGGAGAAAGCATAATTGATGTGGCACCTGAAAAATATCCTTCTCAACTACACTGGCTGTGAGCTGGCTGTTGCGGAGTCCTGATTAACCCAGGACTATAAGGAAAAAAAAATTGTATCTGTTGGAACAATTTGTTGACAGCTAGAATGAATTATGGAGACTAGCAAAAGAATGGCTTTATCTAGGACAAGTTTGATCCTGGACAGGTTATTATAAATATGCCCCACTGAAGCTCTGTGCACAATCGAGGGTCTGATACTATTGCCACCACACACACCTTATTGGCTATAAAGTATTGAACCCCCATAATTTAGTTTGCTCTTCCAGAAAAATACACTGACAAGGGCATTTATCACTGTAGTATGACTGTAAAAACCTGTCAGTTACTGTGCATTTTCCTGCTGCTTTATTTGATCATGCCCTGGAATTGGTTTTAGGTTTGTTTGTTTGGGTTTTTTAGTTATTTTTGCACAGCTTTAGAAAATGCATGAGAAATGACTTTACAAACTAATCTGATAAAACAAAGTCTTAAAGCAAATGCATAAATAGCAACAAGGAAACATTAAAAAACTAAAATATATAGCATTTCAGTGTTTTAAGTTATTGTATGGGTGGCAACCTTTACCTCATAATGTTAAAAAATTAAGTTGTAGACTGCAGAAAATGAAAAAAGGATCTTAGTTTTGCAGAGTAAGACAAATCACACTGTTTTTCACTAAAAAACGCCAAATATTTTTGATTGATCTGCCCTGAGAAAGGTGCAGGTTCTGTGCCATGAGAACTGAGTTCTATCACACAAATGTTTGACTTAAGCAAACGTCTCCATTCCTCTGCTCCCTAGAACTGGGCTGCTTTGTTAAGAAAAAGAAGGATCAGATCCTTACTCAGGTTAAATCTCTCCATGTGTGTAAAAACTAAAGTATGGCATGAATGCAAAAAGTTAAGCCTTGATGCTAGTGTCAGTGACTCAGGGCCAATTTATTATTGTGCTCATGCAGTACATCCCATCTTCCCAACAGTACTCTTCTCCTCTCTAATGTCTGAAGGACAAAGAAGCTCATCAGTTGTTCCCAAAGGTGTTACAGGTAAAAATTTTGCGTATTAGGACACAGAAGAAAGAAATATTCCTCTTAGATTAATTAAATGTACATGTGCTATCTTACTGTCTTCAAGTGAAAGCAAAAATCATATCAGAATTAACAAAATTGCTGACAAATTTATAACCAATAGCTTGATTTTAATGTCACTTCTGCTCCATCTTTCTCCGGGGAAACAGTGTCCTTCATTCCCATTCTCTCTATCCTTTCCCAACCCCAACCACCCAATACAGGTAACAAATATCTGTGTCTCTCCCCTACCCCACACAATGCAGGTAATCCAGCGTCAGCAGTAGAGGCTTCCAAACCACCGGCTTTTATTCCTACAGTAGCAAATGAAGGAGGAAAACACTGGACTGTTAATGAAGTCAGAGCTTTGATACACATATGGTCAGACAAAAATATCCAGCAACAACTAGAGGGGACAGTGAGAAATAAAAGAATATTTGAACAGGTTGCTGCTAGACTTCAAAAGTTTGGAATTGACAGGGACTGGAAACAGTGCAGGACAAAATACAAAAATCTGAAACATGAGTACAAGAGCATAAAAAGTGCCCAAGACTCAGGGAGTACAAGTAAAAGTATGAAATTTTTTAATGAACTGGATGCTATTCTGGGGCACTGCACCATGGAACAAGCAAGTAAATCAGATAATGATGAAAGTGAGAGGCCTTCAGAATGGACAGAAGCAAAATCAGAAAAGGATTCCTTAGGTAAGTACTTCAACTACCCACATATGATTTAATGTTTTTAGTTTTCCAGCACTAGAGAGACCTTAAAAAACTCAAAAAGCACAAACAGAGAAATTAATCAATTGGCTGGGGTGGAAAAACATTGAATGGAAATTTATTATTTATCCAGTAGTTTTATATTTTGTTATAAGGTATTATTATTTCAGATTGAGTGATTGCCCTGCACTTTTTTAACAGAACTGGGAAGCAAAAGGAGGAAAAAAAGATGAAGACATAGGATAAGATGATACAGAAAGACAATTCCAGGCAAAATCATGTCAGGAGAGACTGTTTACAGTTTAGATAACAGAAATGGATCAGAGAGATACTCAGACTGTGTTACTGGAAAAATTAAGACATTGAGCAAAAGAAATCTGCAGTAACAGACATTGGTTAAAAAAGTTAACATCTAAAGTTAACATCTAAATTATCTTTCTCTTATGGTCCCAAATAGCTGAGTTTGATTGGCCTTTGGAGCAAGATTCCCGAACTGGTGACACAACATAGCAAAATGTGGCAAAATAGCAAAAGAAGTAGCACTAAGAATGATGACAGAGGCTTGCCTTTGGTTTTGGATGGTTACTGACAATTAAGGGTAATGGATGATCAATGCAGAATTAGAGTAGACTGATGAACTTATACTACCCAAGAGTTAAAACATTTCTATTGGTATGTACAACCAGAAACATGCTTGTTAAGAATAGAATTAAACATTAAAGTTTTAGTTGAGGGGATGATACTCAACATAGGTTGGCCAAATGTAAGACCAGAAGTTAGTAAAGTAATGGGAGAAGTCGAAAATATTACATGAAGACAGTCTGGCTGAAAAGTATGAGAACATTTTGGGGGAAGATTTGCTCTTCCATTGCCATTTCTAGACATTTTGATAATGCACCTACTTTGCCTGATGGCATAAAATGCATCTGAGGCTGGATGGACTTTTTAATTTGATATATCACAGATGTTCTTATAAAGTATAAAAATACGGTGCCCTAATTAAATTAGCATTATTTACACAGAAATGCCTGGAGACACAGGTGAAGAGGACTCTGTTAGTAATATGTCAGAAGACCTACAGGTTGCAGATACAAAGAAAGTTTCTGATTCAGGTAATCTGAAAAGTCTTCTATTTTATACAAATACCTAAATTTATTGAATTGAAATTAGTTTCTAAAATAAGCCCAAATTATAATTTGTAGAAAATCCAGAAACCTAGAAAACTTAAAAGCAAGAGATGATGTCATCACATACTTATGTACACATTTACAATGTCCTGCTAAATATGATAAAATCAGTCCAGTAAGTAATCATTCCAAAGACTTGTGAGGCAAAATGTAGAGAAGAGACTACTGGTTTAATCAAGTTGAGTGCAGTGTCCTGCTGCATTTATATTTACTTAAACTATGTATTCCCAAGGATTAGAATTGTTCAGTCTCCTGTACATGAACTAATAGAGCATCTCTTTTTCACAATATGTGATCAGGATGTAATTGTGTAAATGCTCATGTCAGAGGATGAAAACTTCATTTAAGAGTCTCACTGAATATGAAGGTCATATGCTCTGCTCTTTACAAAGAAAGACTATGGTTTGCATCTGAAAACATAAATTTCAGAGGAAGCAGAAGTTTAACATTCAGCTAGAGACACATGGAAGTCTCTCAGGCTGACAGGTGTTATTGTCCACAACAGAGCACCTCATGTTCTCTTTCAGTAGTGTGAGGCAGAACATGGTCTAAATTAAGATTAAGGAGTAGTCTTACAGAATTTAAAATGGTCTAATGTGAACTTGAAAAGATTTTAATATCAAATTAAAAATCTTCTGACAGATGATGTTACTGTAAATACTACTCCAGAGAATCGGGCAGCTCTGCATATAATGAAAGAAACAGCTATGACAAGTAAGTAAAGAGATGGTTGATCATAAGAGGTAATTTAAGATATATCAGATAGCAACATTTTTGGTTTTTTCATTCAATAGAAATTACATTAATAAATTTAAGTTTACTAAGAAATAAAAAAATTACCATGGCCACATGACGCATTTCATGGAGAAAAACAGGTTGTTGTGAAAAGTGCATTTCCTGTAGAGACCTCATTTTCAGAGAGACAAATATGAAAGAAATAAACAGCATTTTATAGGATCCAGTTAAGACTGCTTAAAAAATGCATTAAATTCCATTTCTCCCTATTAACAAGTAATATTACTACATACACGCAGACAGTAGTAAGACACTATGTAATACAAAGATTCAGCAGTGCTCCTTAACTGTCATCCGACAGTTTTCAACCACCTGGTGCTACATAATATTGTAACTTCTTGGACTGCACTTTTCCAAACAAGATATTTAAGGTGAAGTTAAATGAATATTTCTAGTAAAGTTCTGAGAACACATTTTTGTCATTTAAGATAAGTGTAGGTGTAAAAATATCTGTAGTTTACCTTGGTTACCAACTCCCTTTTCAAATATGTGCATTTTAACTGCGTAGTTTGTTTATTTCTGGGTAACTGTAAATGCAATGTGATTTTGTGGGGAAAAATTAAAATAACAAGTGGTTCAAAAGTGTCTGTGGCTCAACCTATCCACTCTTAAGACTATTTTTCAAACTTCTGTGGGGGAAAAAGGCAAAACCACACTCCAAGGCAAAACCAACAAACAAGTTCAGTTTGCAAAATTCTTTTCCTCATTCCAAAACAAACAATACACACTCAAATAAATGTTTTTCAGGTGGTAGAAGACACCCAGTCTTTATTTTTTTTTAATGGTGATATAATTAGGTATTGCATAAAGCAGATAAAAGATGCACACTTTTTATGTTACAATAACATGGAGACCCTTTCTTCTCTAATTGTGGTACATGAGTTTCTCAGACAGTCCGAATAATTTTGAAGTGAGCAACTGGTAAGTAAAGAGACTGTATGTACCTCTGTACTCATAAATATACACACTGATAAATAGTGAAAAGGGCAAACAGGCAGTGATACATTACATTGGTTGTTTGATATGAGTAATGTCTCAATCACTGGCATTTAGGATGTGACTTTTTGTAAAAGCTCCTGCATATGCAACAGAACTTTTGTATAAAAGTGTTTCTCAACAGCATGGAATTATTAAATTTATAGGTATTTATGTGTCTTGAAAAAAAATTTGTAGAAAATCCCAATTCAACATAGATGAGAATTTAGAAATTCTGTTAAACTCTTATCTGGGTATCTTCCTTATCAGTATATGCAGTTAATGTAATCTGCAGCCAGAGCTGTATATGCATTTCCTCATATATATATATATATATATATATATACACACACATATATATGAGTTAGCCTAGGCAGGCATTGCCTTCTGGCAACTGCAGCTGCATAAATACACAGAAGATGCACGAGCTGCTTCAGAGCATATGTTTCTCATGTTCTTACACCTGAATCTGAGTTATGAGCCACAGTAACAGTAACCACTGCCAGTCTTTTATAAAAAGCCCATTTGGGTTTGCCATACTCAAGTAAGAAAAATACTAAAATAGGGTTAATCAAAGGACAAATACACAAGTTTCAGGAGAACACCTAGTTATGTGATGTGCTGTGATACTGTTTTTTATCTCTGCCCATATGAATTTGCTACTCAAAGAGCAGCAAATGCTCATCTGAGAAGAAGACAAAGGTAAAGAAATCCTCACGGCTCCTTGCACAGCCTGTCCTAGTTCCTGACACATTGCTGGCAGCACTGCCCAGCTGGGGGAGCAGGAGAGCCACAACAGTCCCCAACCCGTGGGTTTTCGGCTTAAGTGTCCTGTGATACGCTGGGGACACTGCAGGTTACTCTCTCTTTTGGCAAAACATACCCCATTGAATCGATCTGCAAAAAAAACCTTATTTATTAATTTTCACTGATGTTTTCAATTTTGTGGGATCACTTTTAGTTGTTAGAGAAATCTATTCAGAAGAGCCAGTTACTTCAGTCTATACCGTTTGTCAATCCAAACTCCATGTACATTCCACATGTGTCAAGACTTTGCAGTATGACTACAGAGTGTGTGTATAGGTGTTTGGTTAAATCTGAAGTGCCAGGGAACAACAGTGGAGATCAAAAGAGGTTTCTAAGAAATACCAGTAGTCTGATGTTCTTACAATACCTACAGCAAGTATTCTACTTCAAACAAATTCCTTTCCTTGTCATTATTTTCTTACGATTTTTGGTACCCCATACACTTTACTATATATGTCCCTCTCAGAACAAAGTAATTAGTGACACTTCCAAGGTATATTCCTAAACAAGGGCTTTTTAAAAATCTGTTGTTTATAGTTAAGATCTTAAATTAGTGCATACTCAGGCACTTAACATTGGCTTGAACACTTGCTGCTGTGTGCATGGAATTTTAAAATGTACAGATATAAAGTCAAAAGATAATGTTTTCATACATATACCCCAGACTAGTGTTAAGCAGTGTTTCAGAGAAGTGCAAACCCCAAAGTTCTTGATTATTCACTGCCTAGTGATTATTCAATAGCCTAGGCATATTTGGGCTGCAGACAAACTCTTAACTGTGCATCCAAAGTTTTCTGTATCCACTCTCATAGATCTGTATGACAGAGATGGCAGCATCTTTGCAAGTTGTTGGAGCGTAAACATAAACCACACACTGAAAATTTTCCCTAGTTTTAACATAACCCACTTTCCTTTTATACTATACAAGACACACATGAGAGTAAGGATTAGGAGACAAATTACTAATCTTGTCTCATGAGCCAGAAAACAAGATAATTAGTGATGGTGACAGAGTGCCAAAAGAGAACAGAGCTTGTATCAGTCTGAGTGGGTGAAAGGAAAGACTGTGACAGCATTGCTCGGGTAGCCTTGTGAGCAGTGGTTCAAACACAAAGTAGAGATTAAGCATATTTACTGGCAACTCTCTATAGCTCCACTAACAATGCAGATGGAGCCACTGTGTTTTATCCATGCCAAAAACTGTCGACGGCTTGTTCTGTTTGGCTCAGTCTTACTCTTCTTGTGCTCTCCCTCCAAAACTCTGAAAGGTGCCTTAGAAAAAAAGCCAGGCTCCCTACCCACATTCTTGGCTCGCCAAAAGAAAAAAAAAGCACATGATGCTAGTCACATCATAAAGAACATCTGATGCAAACAAAGCTGTATTGATCTGGGGGTAATTTTTAATAAAATGGCTCTAGATTAAACTTTATTGCTCAATGTTTAGTGGCAATATTCTTGAATGGACTGAGAACAGGCTGGGAGCCAGAAATGCTGTCATTGATCCATGATGTGGCCTTCACCATTTAATCTCTGTAGAGCAGTGTCCTCAGTGGGAAGTGAGGATGAGCATGACCACTTGCATCATCCACTTGCCCATACCTCTGTCCCAGGGCAGAGGGGTGGAATTCTCCCTTAACATCAGCGGGCCAATGGCAGAGGAGTGGAGATCTCCTCCCCATGGAGGGGAGCCCAGGGACACCTCTGTCACCCAGCTGTGTGATGTAAACCCCTGCAAGCTGCAGCAGCAGAGATGTTCTCAGGACAGGCTTTAGTACATCGTCTCCATCAGGCAGGCAGCCTTACAGATCAATTGTGTAAGCACAGCATCCTGACGTGTAAGGGTCCCTTGCTCCTTTTGGGGCTAATTCAAACACTTGGATTGACTTGGCATCAGTCACTTAGTTGTCTTTCAATAATTTCAGTATATTTTGCACCCTTTATGCAAGTCACTGTCTTGCCTGTTCTGCTGCATGTTTACCAGTAACTTGGTATCTTACACCCACCATCAGTGAACCATTCTACAAATTCTGATTCAGGTTAAAATAACTTAAGAGTTTACACACATAACCCATAAACTTATATACTGCAGCTGTTATGTGATGTTCTGGACTTACTTTGTAAGTGGGTACACTCTGCTCTTAAGGCTATTACTGCAGATAAATGGCAGATTTAATGTATTGAGAGAGGAAATCTTTAGCAGTAGTTATCATCAGTATATCATTCTGAAGTACATGACTCTCAAAACATCACTCAAGACATGTTTAGTTAATAAGAACTCTGAAAATTTTTTTTTACAGAAATCCTTGAAGATGAGGGGGACTTTGCCAACTCCACCCCAGTAGCTCTGGAAGCTACACAAGTAAAGAAGGAGATGATTGATATAGGTAAGTCAGGACTTTGTCATGATAGTTTTCATAGGACATTCTACTTTACTGGGCATTGCAGACTTCAGAGCTTCATGTTATTCCAGCAAATTACATTAGTTGTACTTCTAGATTATGATAAATTATAAGTTTTGTTTGATTTCATAGTGCAGGAACGTATGAACACTTATTTATCCTTCCCATAATTATAACAAAATCTTATTTTTCCCAGAGAGCATGCTCCTTTTTATGATGCATGTGATTAATCTGCATTTGATTGTGACATAAACACATTTTTTCTTACACAGTTGCCAGAAAGGATAAAATGGAAAAGTAAATAGCAGTCAAAGAAACTAAGAACATTTTATACCTTGTCTGTATTTTCAAACTACTTCATGACTGCATTTAATATCAGATTATTTACTATCAAGCAATTTCCATATAAATATTCTGAACTATTATAAGCATAAAACTGAAATCAGCAATAGGTAGAAGTCATATATTCAGTAATAAGTGATCAGGACAAGATTTGTTTTGTTTAAAATATTAAAATTTAACATTAGAATGCAGTAGGGATATTAATATTCCAGAATAAATGAGCATAAAAACCATAGAAGATCATGAAAAAAAGACATCAGGGGAAATAACAATAGCATTGAAATTGAAATATAGTAACCTATATTGAAATACAGTGACTATATTCTTTATAGTAATGCTGTTTGTATGCAGAAGTTAATAGAGGAAAAAAATCAATTTTAGTGATTTTGTGAACAGCAATTCTTTGGCCTTTGGCACTGGCAGTTTCTACCATAAGAATATTTCTCTTGGATGCATCAGGCATGTTCCAGGCAAGAGCTTCCTTTCCAGCAATTATGTTATCTGTAGTTTGGATGTTGAGACACCCTATGCAACACACCCTTTACAACTGTTTGCACTGGCTGATCTTGATCATGAAAGACAACTGTAGTGACTGTGACACTGAGGACAACATCAGAGCCATGCCACCACAACAATGACACACAGAAACACAAGTGACACTGAGGATAAAGTATATCTGTGACCCTGAAAGTTGAGACATAGCAAGGTCACACAAATACAAAGTGAAGAATAAAATGTCATGCAGCTCAACTGACTGCCTCATACACACCAACTCCCTATCATGTAATATCCAATCGAACACAGTAATCATGCAAGTCAGCACTACGCAAGTGCCACTGCCAAAGACAGGAAGAGTTCAGAGAACCACTATGGTTGAGAGAATGATAACAGAAATGGAAGCTATGGGGCGGTTGGTAACAGTTTAAGAAAGAACCCAGGAATTTCTTAGGAGCCTAGGAGTAGCCCTACAGCTCTGTTTTGGCCCATTTCCAAGAGCTCCAAGTGTTAAGGAAGATCTAAGAATTTTCTCAAGAGTTACAGGGTGCCCATTTATGAGATGACATTTATGATTTTTTCTAGTACCCCAAATAAATCACACAAACATGATGATGAGAGTATGATTTCCAAGTTTTCCACAGGTACAAAATATATTCTTGCACATGGGCTTATGAAAAACAAGTATTTGCCAAATGACTGAAGAGAAAACAAGTTATGGAGCAAATATGAATTCCAAGTACTAGTTTGTGCATATATTGGCAAGAACCATTATAGAAAGCACATCAAATGAACATGTTTATTTACAAAGAATCACTGTTTCTGACAGAGCCTAAGTAAGCACTCAGTTTTTCAAAACATAAAAGGAATATTTACTTCTACCCTTTACCAAAACCAGTACTGAACATAGTCTATGACATCCCCTAGCAAACAATGAGAACTAATCTTTCTCTTCCTCCCAACCCAAAAAAGTACGTCCACACAAAAGTGTCTCAGAGTAGTCCAAGCACGAGCAAATTAACCCAGCAAATCTGGGTTTTGATGTTCATAGATTATTTCAAGAATTTCTCAGTAGATAGTGATGAAGTTGCAAATAAAAGCCTGAGGGCAATCAAGAGAGACTTCAGGGGCCTTGAAACTGGTTAAGGGATCAAGAGCACAAATAGTCTTGTCTTCTTCCAGTTGCAAGGAATAATGTGGGGAAAAAAACAGGAAGACCCAGCAGATCACTATCTGGCTTCAAGCTTAGTGACACTGGGAAGATACTGTTTTTTTTAATCATGGTTCCATGACACCAGACTTGCTGATACCTATCTCAAAGGGGTGGGGCTGGGGAAGGATCTTAGCATAGAAGTTAATAGAACTCATTGAAAGAGCTGTAAACTAAATTTGCAGGTGGGAAGAGATAAACCCAGACTTAATAGAGAGCCTGGGGGCAACATGCAAATGTTTGAGAGATGCTGTTCTAGAGAGGTCCTTTGATCTGCGTCTCAGTAGTCAGGGGATGGAGAGCAGAGAGGAGTTATTGATGTGTTAGAAACCACAGAAGCACCTGAGAATACAAAGAGCTTCTCACCCCCTAAAGACGGTGGGGCAAAAAGCCCAGCTGTGGCGCATCTAGTGCAGACAGCATAGGAAACAAACAGGATGAGCTGGAAGCCACTGTGTACCAGGAAAACTGCTATAAGTTTCCATCTTGAAGACACAGAGGGATGACTTGCACAGCTGGAGTGCTGCAATGGTGACTGTAAACTTTGCAAAAGTGACAAGCAAGGAAGGAGAGACTGTGGGCTACTCTGTATGTTAGAGAGTGTTTTGATTGTCTAGAGCTCACGATGGTGACAGTAGGGTTGAGGATGTATGGGTAAGAATCAGGAGAAGTCAACAATTCAGGTATCCTGGTGGGAGTCTGTTACAGACCACCCAACCAGGACAGAGGCAGCTGAAATATTTTATAAGCAGCTGGGAGAAGTCTCACAGTTGCTGGCCCTTGGGGGTGAACTTCAGGTTATCAGATGTCTGCTGGAAACACAACACAGCAGAGGACACAGCCTAGGAGGTTCCTGGAGTGTGTGGCTGACAGCTGCCTGACATAGTTGGTGAAGGAGCCAGCTAGGGAAGGGACCCACTGGACCTGGTGTTTGTGTATAGGAGACTGGTGGTGCCTGGAGCCTCTTGGCCACAGTAGTTACAAAATGGTAGTGTTTTCAGTTCTTGGTGAAGTAAAGAGGGAGGTCATCAGAACTGTCACCTTGGACTTGGGCAACAGCAGAGTCACTGTCCCTGGAGGGATTTAAATGACATGTAGATATGGCATTTAGGGACATGGTTTATTGGTGGACTTGGTAATGCTAAGTCCATCCTAAATGATTAGTATTAGTGCTTCCATCCTAAATGATTACATGATTCTGTGATTCTTCAAGTCTATAACTAATGGGCTAGACTGAGGGCTTAGGACACTTTTAGGTGGGAATAGGTGTCTCCTACAGAGGATGACAGTAATACTAGCAATTTATTTGTCTAAATCCAAGTCTATTTAAAAAAAATTCTTTTTGTGTTTCTATAGATGATGATTCTATAAGCACTACCTCAGAAGACAGATCTTGTACACCAGTAGCAAAACGGATGGTTGGGACAGGTGAGTATTAACTTGCATTTATTTATGAAATAAATCACATTGCAATTTCAGTACCAAAGCTGGAGCAATCAGATCTCTACTATAAACATAGCTCTACTTTTCTACACCTGATTCCATTCTAGCTTTGTTAGCAAACTTAAAAGTTAGTTTCTTATCTCTTTTTCTTTGATGAGCAAAACCTATATTAATACTGTAGTTCAACTTTCCTCCCATACATATCGAATGAGCAGCATCTGCCTACGTCTGACTATTTTTGAGTCTGAAGATTTCTCTTCTTCTGTTGAATCCCGAGTAGCCTTTTCATTTGCGTGTTGCCATTTTAATTTGAAATCACACTTCTCACCAATGCTGAGATCTTAAAAGCTTAAATGTACATGATGGTGACGTTCCTACATGTAACACTTGGATACATCTGTCTTTAATTTCACAACAGTGGCACAATTATTGTGACAGAATGTTGAATTTTAGATGCCTTGGAGAAACATGAGATTCTACTCGCTATGTATTTTGAATACTTAAGAGGAAACAATGGTGTATGGATACTAAAATTATAAAGTTAAAATATTATTAGTTGTAATTATGCTTTCATATATGTATATTTAGCATGTATTTATAGCATTTACAGTTAGTTGGTTTTTTATTTATATTTTCAGACAATCACATTCCCTTGGAAGAAGCACAAAATCACTTTAAAGTTATTACAGTTAATGATACTGGAGCAGGAAAACACTGGAGTGATAATGAAGTTAGGGCTCTGATAAACATATGGTCAGATGAAAAGATACAACAGATGCTTGAAGGGGCCACAAGAAATAAAGAAATATTTGAGGAAATTGCCAGAAGGTTAATGAAACGTGGTATAGACAGAGACTGGAAACAATGTCGCACAAAGTACAAGAACTTGAAATATGAATACCGTGCACTGCAGAAAGAAAATGAGCACCTTGGAAATCCCAAAAGAAAAATGAGATTTTATGATGAAGTTGACTGTATCTTAAGAAGACAGCCTCTCGGAACCTCAGGCTGGGGATGTGAAAGCTCAAGTCCCCTATCAGGTAATAAAAACTTCAGTGATGAGATAAAGTGCTTTAAGTGAACTTTCTAAAGCTGCCTGTTTGAGCCATGCTGTAGATGTGAAATGTGTGGCCAGAAATGGGGAGGGAAAATAACTGGGGAAGCTGTATCTGCATGGTCTCATAGGGAACAACTCAAGTGGTCTATGGGGACATGTAGAAGTGAGAATATTAGCAAAAAGTGAAAGCACCAAAGCGTTCTGTGTTATTGGAGAATCTTTGCTTTGGAAAGCCTAAGTGACATACAGTGAAATGGTGCTAGGACACATAACAGGTTTTAGGAGTCATGCAGCAGACTTGGAAAGTCTGATGAATAGAGAGCTGTAAGCTCATGCCATTTGGAACTGCAGAAATCAGTAGCAATCACGCCAAGTGCAAGGACTCCAAAAACCTCAAACTATATTAATTCAATACACACCGCAGTCAAGAGAGAGAAAAATCCAGGGCAGTGATTTTTATTTGAACACTTGTAATAATTGTATTAATTTTGCTAAAGCAGATTCAGTTTTCAAAATATAGCTTGCTTCTTAGTATCAGAAACTCTCTGATCTAGGAACCACAGAGTATCTGCTGTAAGGGTTCTTGTAACTGGCCAACTGCTTCAGACTTCAGGGGCACCTTCCCCTGCTCCAGGCATATTAGGTGCTCTTGTAGAACTAACTGAACCTCTGCAACTTATGCTTCAGTGACTTAAGGTAAAGCAGAACTAATTGTGATTGTTCTCAATATGTTAGATAATAGTTTGCAACAGCACAAATGTTAGTTGAGGACTTGAACCATTTCTGCAGAAAGGCCAGATGGACGGCTTGATCAGAAACTGCTGGGACCACAATCAGAGTTGTGAACCTGAGCCCTAATGTGGTGTCCAAGGGCACCACTCAGTACTGTGTGAGTTGCAGCTGGAATGACATCCATAGAGCTGTGGGATGACAGTTCTCCCCTGCCTCAGTCTTGTGTATAATCACATTCTCAAGACATGTATTTTCTTCCAAATACAGAAACTGAATCTATTACTGCTCATTTCTACTCTCCGCGAATGGGATATGTCAACACCAAGAATGTTGTCAACACCAACAACCAACCTGGCTTTTTACATTTTAGCATGCTGGAAAAGGACTATGTAATCTGTGAATGCTGATGCAGTGGCCAGTAAAACAATAACATTCCAGAAAAGAAGCTTATTTTCTTATTTTTCAGTTATTAATGTGTTTGAGGCATCTGTGAAAAAAAATGTGTCTTGTCCTAAGGTATTTGCTTTTGTATTTGGTGTGTGACTGACTGTGCCTTGAGAATCTCAACAAAACACTTAGTCACCTTGTTTTTCTCTTCTAAGTTTCAGTGGCAGATGCTGCAGCAAACACGGGATCTTTGAGTATCAAGAGGAAAACATGGAATGATGGTAAGAACCCCTGACTTTTTAAAGCATGTACTACACTGCTGTTGAACTGGATGCCAGATTCATATATTCAGTATTCAAACAGTTAAAAAAACATAATCCTAGAATTTAACACCCAGCTCCGAACAAACATTCTTTTCTCACCCACAACAATTGGTAAAAGAAGAGTTCTGATAAAAATGTAGGCCTAAGGAAAACTGTAATTCATTTATTTCAGTCCTCATCCCTGGTATAAATGAGGTAAACATCATATGCAAAGAAAATACAGTATTTAAAACCCAAGATGTCTCAATTGTGTTGCTTAAGGGAAAGTAGGGACAGGCACAGTCATGGATGTTATTTCTTCATATTACGCTACTGTGTCTGTAAACATGTCTAATGTGTTGTACACAAGAAAACAGGCTAAGACAGCTGTGTCAAAGACAAGATAGAATAGAGAATCATGGAGAGAGAAAAATGATGGGAAGGATAGAAATATGTGGCACGTGATTTGATACGGGGAAGGTCAGAAGTTCATTTTTCTTTCTGACAGGCCCTAAATAAAAAGAAAATCCAAGAATGAGGAACAAAAAACTTAGTTTTAAGGATCTCACCACTATCTTTAATACCAAAATTATATTCACAGACAGATGAAGATAAATGATCTGAACATTACATTTTTAAATTCAACCCGTTTAGTTCAACACCACAAACTATACTACCATTGTAACAACATAAACACAATACTAACATTGTATTTAATCACTCTGTGCGATTAAACAGACTTTCATTTATTGCCTATTATGTAAGTACCTCTTGAAAAGGGCTGTAACTAGGCAAAACTGAAAGTTTGAGATAGATTTTTACAGGGTCTGCTGCATTCCTACTCTTGATCATACAATGATCCCTTATACAACACCAGGCAACACCAGCCAAAAGAGAAGATCAGAAGAACAGCTTTAGGAAAATCCAGCATGTGCTAAACTTCAGTGTCAGCAGTTCATTGACTTGTGCACTCTAACCAAGTACTTTGCTTTTGTCCACAGAAGTGTCACCTGTTCCACTTAAGAAAAGTGCTTCTGAAAACACCATATTCCACTTCCAAAAACTGTTAACAGAGAGAGTGCATACAGTAACAGAAGGCAAAAAGTTACTGTTTGAAAGGCTTTGTAAGCAGGAAGAAATGCAAGACCTCAACAGAACACAGCTGTATGCTGATCCATCAGCCGTACAACAGGTTGGTTTCGTGAACTTTCTATGAAATTAACATGCAAATAGATTCTGTCAGGTAGTATGAAATGAAATATTTAAGAGTGTAAGTTACCCACATGAGTACATGCTTGCTTCCCTTTAATATAGTCACCTTCAGTCATTTAAACTAAAATAAGGTGTGAGTTTCCATCATAATCCTTAACTATGAGCTTTTAGCAGTGGTGTCAGTTAGTGGAATGAAAAATATGACCTCTGCCTATATATCTTGGTTCACCTACATGCCACAATTAACAGCCTTAATTGAAAGAAAATAATACTTTAAGTGATCAAAGAAAACATGTACAGTTAAAATTTCACCCCATCATTTCCAATTACCATCTCCAGGGTCTTCTTAACAAGTTAGTCCTCTGCAACTAACCAAATAGTTGAAGCCATAGGACTTTTTGATTATGCAGGGCTGGTGGGGAAAACACTCTTACCTCCTTAACCAGCATTTACCCTCCTCCTACCCTCTTCCCCCTGCTTATGTTGGTGTGGGGGAATGTCCCCCTGTGCCTGCTGAAGGCTTGCAGCAATGTGCAGCACTGAACTGGAGAATTCAGTGAGCCAGAAAGAAAGTACACAGAATTGATGCCTGCATAGAAGGGGCAGGCATTAGTTTTGGTCCCTGTTCTGTAGTGGGCAAGGGGTCTGTTATGTCCAGTAACCTACTGAGAACATAGAAACAGTGCAGGGAACAACGACATGCTAAGAGACAAATGCCACATTATAACTGTTATTCTGCAAAATCCTACTAGCCACTACTTCATTTTGTGGTTGTGCAAGTACTTTCTGCTCTGTATTACATTTGCAGGGTTTTTCTTGCAGTGTACTCCAGCAAAACAACTTTCTGGATCTCAGTCATGTTTGGGCATAGACCTACACAGCCCTGCCAAAGCCAGGTCAGTTCTGTGCGCATACAAAGGCACAACTCAAGTCAAACACTCAAGTCCTTATTACAGCAACAGTCACCAAGTTTATTTACATACAGAGGCCTAAATTCCATCCAAGTCCCTCTTTAAAACTTTACATAAAAATATTACTGGATATAATGTGATATGTATAATTTCCTGCTCTATGCTTAAGTATTTCCTTGTCAATTCTTTTATGAGAGACATTATGAAGGCAAATACTTTCCACCAAAGTGGATTTAATCTGCCTTTTGACTTGCATTTTTTAAACAATTCTGAGAAAACAGGACAGAGATCCCTAGAAAATAATGGTTTTTTGATCATTTATACAGTGATATGGATACATAGTTTTTACAGCATATGCTTATCTACCACTTTTCACATTTTACACTGATTTCTCAGTATAAACCTTTGGCTTGTAATACTGTCACGAAAACTATCATTCCTAGCAATACTAGTATCATCATTGGTTTAAAAATCTTTCTTCTCTCTCTTTCTTTCCAATGAGTTGGTTCAAAGGTACATCCTTGAACTTGTGTTGTATTATTTGCATACAGAGGTGCTGTCTTTGGAAGGAGGACAAGGTTTGCCCCTGCCATCACAGCAGTCAGGTATCCCTACAGAACATGCTGAGTCAGCTGAAGACCTCACCAATCCCACACTACTAAAATCACAGGTTACTCCTTCCACATATGAACCAGAAAAACGTGTGATCCAACCCTAATTCACACCAGTACATTTAAAAGTTTAGTTCAGTTATGATTTAAACTATTTGAAGTAACTGTACTGAAAATAATATGGGTAACGTACATGTTTTGCTTTACCTTCTCTGTTTCATAAGTGCATGGCGGAAATTGACTTGATAACTCATTTCAACAAGAAGATTCCCCTTTTCTCCATGCTACTCTGAGTAACCTAGTTCTTGCTGGATGCCCTATAAACCAGTTCATCTCACTAACCTTGGACAAGACTAGCCCATCTAGTATGAAAAGACCCTGAATGGTTTTTCTGTGTGAGTTGAAGTAGCTCAACAAGTTCCCAGATGTGCCAGGACTAACTCTGAACAGCTGAAAAGTTATTTTTGTTGCAGTGTGCATGTCCTTTTAGAAGAAATACTAACCTGAGGGAAACAGCTAGCACTCTAGAGATGATAAACTGTCACTTTAAATTCTGCATGGTGCACAAGGATCCAAATCTTTCCAAACCTAACTGCCATTCAGTGCAATAGCCCAAAAAAAACCCTTCCTTCCATCAAATAAAAAGCTTTTAATTCATTAAAATCACCAGACCTTTCAAGAATATGTATCTATGCTGATACTCAGGTGAGAACACAACAGCATTGAGGCAAATGACTTGCTGAATACTTAGCAGGTCAGAGCAGAGAACTGCAGAGCACACTTGCAGTCTTCACTTGGAAATTGTTCATGTCAACACTAGGTGGTAGACATGAAACAAGAACTGATAGAAAAAAAGGAACACAAGTGTGTTTACTTTTCAAGTAAAGGTTTTTTTTCCTCAGAAAACTTTTCAGAGAGTAGGATTTATCTAACAAATGTTCAAAGAATGTAGACTTCCCTTTGTGTGGGATTCCTCTTCTATCCTGTTTTGTGACTGCAAAGCACAGCTTGCTTTTTAAAATGTTTTGTCAGAAAGTTGTCTTCTGCCCTGCTGTTCATTCATTGTCAATCAAAGATTGTAAGAGATGTCAGGTGCAAGATGGGGCATTTGGCATTATCTGATATTTGTGTGCTATTCCCATTTATACAGATAACAATTAATTTACTTGAGACAGATAAAGCGATATGAAGACAACCTATCTTCACTGTGGTTGCAGTTATGATTCCATGTAACTTTTTGCTTAAATTAACAAATTTAACAGGCATGTTGCATGTTTAGAATTCTGGTTGTTTAGAGCTATGATCTGTCTCCTTTGGACAGCATCCCCAGGGGTAGTGACAGTGGGCTAAAGAGAATGTTGCTAGGCCAAAGGATTTCTCAAAACAGTCCCTTCAGAAATTGTATTGGTTAATCCAACTCATCCTTCCAGTGCATTTTTATATCCACTTAAGCTTTTGCTGTGGCTCTGTCTGTAATCACAGCTTTACATTTATTACAGTCGCAAAATATTTAGTCCAGACACACAGGCCAGTGACATGGAACACGGGACACCATCTGACACACGCTAAATGGTTTTGTATAGGGAACTACCACAGGACTGCAGTGGTTTGGGAGAAGAGCCTTTCTTAGACCTAGATCCTCAACAGACAACAGAAGAGCCAGACCAAGTCATCATGTCCATGCAACTAATCCTGGGAATCTTAACATAAATTACATCATGAAAACGTTCCAGCTTGATAATCAAAACCACGTAATGATGGCAAGAGCATCAATCATACAAATAACAGAGATTTTTTTTTCTCCCTCCTCAAATATCTGCATTATTGCCAGAGGGCCATTAAGATTAGTATGAGGACAAATCTGTCTCCTTCCCAGTTTGCAAATAGCAGTACTGAGATTTTTGAGTTGTAGCAGACAAATGGAACTATTACCACTCTGACCTGCATTAAAAAGCTTCATTTTTCTCTAAAGCACACTCATTCACTAAGATGAATGGGTCACTTCACACATCTTTGATAGCGGTGTTATTTTGTAAAGTCCTCTGAATGCCTTTTTAGGTTATTGGAGAAACTGTTTGGGCCAAAGGCTTTGAGAATGAGCTTCAGGAAGGAGAAATGCTTGCAATGATGGTGGATCCACAAGCACTATCTGCATAATTGGCTTTAAAGACTGCCTTCAGAATCATCCTTTGTTTCTTACCAGCTAGGTCTCCTTTGAATTGGCACAAGTATCCATATGGCCAAGTGGCTAAACAACTGATTTACATTAAAACTAATCTAATAAAAAGCCCCTCCAAACAACCCTGCTTTTTTTTTTTCCCCCCAAGGGAATGGTAATGCAAGACATAGCAGATAGTGAAGCCAGGAGAATTTATATGAACTGCACTACCCAGTGATAACACAGGTTACTGCACACAAACTTCCCTCCATGCATGAGGCTCAAATTTAAGGTATGGGCAGACAAGCCAACCGAGCAATCCTATGAAAATTACGGGAGAGCTTTATAATGCCTACATGGATGACTTACTTACAGTCAAAGTGAGGAAGAATGAACAGTCTCACCCCAGCTCTCTAGCTAGGTTAATGTAATAGGAAGTCTGTTGGCCACAATAAATATAACAGCTGCCTCAGAAATGTCCTCTTGTATCTCTTGCTTGGCACAATTTCCCTCCTGTTTTTCCCAGTCCTTCTTACATGATATCATTCCAGCTGGTTACTCCACATTCAGAGATAAGAGCTTAGACTGAACTACATTTTGTGACATGTACATTGACGATACCTCAACTTGGTTAGGATGAAAACTGGCTTTTCTTCACTTTCCTAAAAATGAGTGTGTAGGAACCCAAGCCCTGCAGGATGTTATGTAAAACTACCTAGCAGATGGAAGAGCTCACCACAGCAAAAAGGCCCTGCTCCTCCTTTCTTCTTGCAGGAAAATCTTTGCAGAATGTTAAGCCAGGCTGTCATCACCTGCAGCACAAAATGGCCTAAAACTTGAATCAAGATAGAACTAAAAGAAGGGTTTCCTCATCTACATTCTGTGTCTGAATGCACTCAGGAATATTTTACCAGCATATAGAGCATGAATGTTCTCATAAAATAGCATACAGACTCAGTACCTAACTAGGAAAACATCTGACCCCATATATTCCTTAGGGAATTTACATATAAATATGACTAATTACAAAATTTGCTATTTAGACAATTGAGACATTTGACACTGCACTTCATGCACCTGGGAGTGAGGGATATGTTGAACTCATAATGCATTCTTGAGATGAAACTAAAAGATAAATACACACCAAATTATCAGGATCATTACCTGTAGTATATCTGAGTTCCTCAGAAAATTCCCATCCAAATACTATTATAATTTTAAGCTTTTTGATTGAAAGATTCACAGTATAAGTCACAATACCAATGGCTTGCTAAATAGCCTTTAAAAGAAACCCCTATCTTGTAGCCAAGATGTTGTATATAAAATGTAGATAAACACTTTTATTATGGTATATTGAATGCAGGTATTTGGAGGGATGGCTATTGGGAAGCAACCAGTGACTTTACTAGACTGAAAGAGAAGTGTCTTAATTTACACTGGTGATGATCTGTTATATGGGTTTTAATCATGGACAATAACAGGAAAGGTATCTAAAAGTACACCGGCCAAGCCTCCAATGATTACAAGTTCCATACACAGGCCCACCTGAGATAAGGAATATTCCAACTTAATGGCACTTCCACCTTCATAGAAGAGGGCTTTTAAAGACTTGTTCTAAAAATGAGTACAAAGCTGGTAGGTACACTCAGGTTTCAGTACATAGTATTACTGCCAAAAATATTTTCCAAAGAATTTTGCAAAAAGTTAACAGAAATCACACTTCCTTGAAGATTAACTTTGCAAATTTGTCCTGGTCAAGGACTCAAATGACGTCTAATAGATTTGTAATTAAGAGTAACTCCTCCTCCCTCCCTCACCACCCCCAAGAAAATCCTCTCCTTAGCAATATCCTCTGATTTTATTTTGGCATGCTGTCAGTGGATTTTGCACTGACTTTGTTCCCTGGCTTACAAAATGTAGAGATGATTTAGACCATCCACTTTTAAGCCTTGTTAATGTTGATGCCAGAGTAACATGATTTGCTTGAGCAGAATTAAAAGTTTCTAACATAATGAGCATGGTAAAATGTTACCATGGTGTCAGATTAAATTTATAAAATGTTCTTAGTGTGTGGAAGGCCTTGATTAGACTGCGAGAAGGAATATACTGGTTTTCATTTTTAATTCAGAGTTCACCATTATAAAGCTAAAGCAAATAAAAAGCTGTGTTTTAACTTCTGCTACAAAGGAGAGAGAATTTAAGCCTCAACAACTAGCAGCTGCTTTTTAAATATTAAAAAAATGCAACCCCAAACAACTTTTAAAGTTGTTTCTGCTAATGTCATAATAGTGAAATTACAAGTTTATCTTTTGTCTTTTCTGATGACGCTCCTGAACTTCGCTTACATATACACATCAATTTTTCATGCAGAACAGTTTCAGTAAGTGAAGCAGCAAGCACCACTCATACACACCACTGAATGCAAGCTTATATATTTTGGTGGCTTGATTCAGCTCACAGAGTTTCAAGTTTTCAGCTGCAAATATCCCCAATGAAGACAATCTCTTCAGTGCCACAGTAATACAAATGATCAACTCATTCTTGGCCATTTATCAGAAACAGCAAAGTCTTTCACCTTGCTGCAACCAGCTGTATCAGAACACAAAGCACAAAGAATTTATGCTGCATGTTTTTGTGGCATCTAACAAATACTCTGGATTTTTACACATACAGGTAAGATTTCAAAGATCAGAAATTATAACATGTTCTCCTCTTTGTGGTCTAGGCATCTCAGAAATGAAGCTTGGTACAATGCCATGCTTTAATATTCTGAATTTTAAAATCTGAGGCAAATTAAGGGCCAAATTCTATATTTTGATTTATTGCACAGGACTAATTTGCTTATAGAAGAACTTGTTCATATGAAAATATGTAATCATTACATAAATATCCTTACTAATTTGAAGGTGATGTCTAAGGACTGTATTTTCTAGTAGCCAGTCAAATTTCTGTTAGTCACTCAGGCCTGAATTGGATGGCCCACTAATATTCACTATAATCTTTCCTATTTACTTATTTTTAAAGGGCTATTGTTAAGAGACGTGTCTTCGTTTTTAACTTTAAAACCATGGGCCTAATGAAGTTTACTGATTCAATAATGCTAAACTTTAACTGTGGTTTTCAAGAGACATTCCAAAAAGTAGAAAGAAGCTGTTATCCTTGGGATTATTATTGGATTGGGATGCCAGCTCTTCTACCCACCGTAATAGGAGAAATTCAAAGAGAGAAACATTAGCAAAGAAAATAGGAAGATTAATATCTCAGCTATTTACAGAATTTTATTGAGTGCTTGTAAAGGTACACCTAATGGAACAGACTGTTTCACTTTTACATGTCCAATGCTTATGCCTTTAGGAAAGCATCCCTTACAATTACTGAGTTAGATCAGAATCAGAGGTAGTGCATATATGCCTCTAGGTGTGTAGCCTCCTGTAGAATTTGTGACTATATGATGAATTTCAATCATAGTATAAGTATTGCTGTGTACAGTCGTGTCCTCCACAGGGGATATCTGATATTAAAAAGCTCAAGGAAATTAAATGTATTTGTCAAGTGCCCATCAAAGAAAAAACCAATCAAACCACAAAACAAAGCACATTGAAAAGTTAAAAAAAAGTTGCAATGAGAATTGAGATAATAAGATGCAAAGTAATGAAAATACATCAATCATTTTATTTCCACCTAAAACACTCCAGTGTAACTGCAAGCACAAAGTAAGATTATTTCCAACCTCTTCACAGAAAAATGATGCAAGCCAAAATGAGACTACTGATTCATTTTACATGAAAACTATAGCTTTGTTCCTGGGATTTTGGCTGTATCACTCCCAATAAAAACATTCTTTGGTGGACACTGGCAAATATATATATACCTGCAGCCGAATTGTTAGGATATGAGAGTCAGTAGGGATGCAGCATTTTATCAAGAAAAGTGTATGAAACTCTACTGTAACAAAAAGAAAATCTCCACGATTTCCTGTTGTTGGTCCAAAACCAATTTCAGAGCAACATTTTACATGTCTGTGACCTCAGAAATACAAAGAATATATTTTATCTATTCAGTGCACGTGTATTTACCCACACCTGGGTAGCCCACCTACCCAGACTGTGAGGAATGTGTTTATTTAGCACACTTTTTTGCAGCTGTGAAGTAAAGCACAGTAAACAGGCTCGGCATGTACTCCTATATGTCCCTACTATAAAAGCTTGTGCATGTCTGGCTGTGCATGTGTTCCCACAGGGAAGATATCCCTTTCTGGCACCACGGGGAAAATTATTGGTTAAGTCAGTCCATAACATTATTATTTTGAATACCAACCAAATGGAAGCAGAACCCAGACTTCATTCTGTAGCTCTGCATCCACATGGATTACTGTCAGGTCTGTTGTACACTGCCGTAGACATGTCAGGTAGAAGTTTTTTTTGTATCATGATAATGAATCTAAACCACTACCGCTAGTCGGAGCCTAAAAACGCTTAAGAACTGCTCCGTTTCGGTAGCCTCTGATTGTGTGACTTATACTTTTAAGGTGAGCATCTCGAGAATGACGCCCGGGCCTCGCCGCGACTCCGGCAGGAGGTCACCGCTCGGCGTGGCTGGGACGGGGCGGCAGACGCATCCCGCTGTGCGGGGCGTACCCCCCTGCCGCCCGGGGCTTCTCCCGCCGCTTGGGGCTCATCCCCGCCGCCCGGGGCTCATCCCCGCCGCTCGGGGCTTATCCCCGCCGCCCGGGGCTCCGCGCAGGGACGTGCAAATGCCCGGGCCAGTGGCGCAGCCCCGGCAGCGAGAGTGGATGCGACTCGGACGAGATGCTGCCGAGGTCCGAAGGCGTTCGACAGCTCTCCTTCGGCGGGACCGGCTCGGGAGGCAGGAGGCGGAGGGGTGTCCCTCCCGCTTCGCCTCCGGGATGCTGCCGGAGCTCTCCGCCGGGGCGGAGCGGAAGGGACCGGTCGGGACGCTCCCCTCCCTTCCCAGAGCGCTCCCGCCGCTGGAGACCCGAGGCCCTCCAGGCTGCACGTGTCGCTGCAGGGCCCCGAGCAGCCGCCGCGGCCCGGCCCGACACCGAGCCGCGTCCGGGCGGCCCCGTCCGGGCACGCCTCGCCCCCCGCGCCCCTCTTACCTGTGCTGCAGCCCCACCAGCCCCAGCGTGATCACATGGGGCACGTCCAGCTCCGTGGGCCACGCGCCGGAGGCGATGCAGCCGAACACGCCGCACTCCTCCCGGATGCCCAGCTCCTCCAGCTCCA